GCTTCGGCGGCGCGGCCGGTGCGGATGGCGCGGGCGGCGGCGAGGGGAGGGGCGGCGCGAGGAGAGAGGCTGGGAGCGGCCTCCAGTCGACCGGCACGCAGGGCGGGGAGCGGAGGGCGCGCGAGAGCGCCAAGGAGAGCCTGAGTGGGGCGGGCCGCGGGCGGTCGGGAGGCGGGGAGGCGCGGTCTCGCCGGCGGGCGGGCGAATGCGGGGCTGCGGCGGGGCGGGGCGGGCGGGCTGAGCTCACTGCTGCGACCGCTTGTGCGCGCTCTGCTGCCGCTGCGCGAGATCTGGAGCGAGCGGCGCAAACTGGCGGAGCGAGTCCAGCACGACGGCCGAGGCGTGGTATGCCTGTGCCACCTTTGGCGCGTCCACGATCGTCCAGCGCTGGCTCGGGTTCGGGATTGACACCTCTGGCTTGTCGGCGGAGCGTGCGCGGTTGGACAGGTCGATGGCAAACTCTCGGATCGTCTCCTGCGGGTGCTTCGCCGCGCGCTGCGCCTCGAGCTGCGTGCGCTCCTGCTCGAGCGAGTCCATCAGCGAGGAGACGTACACGAGGTCCGCCGGACGGAGGCGCGAGCGTAGCTGCAGCGCGATGTTCATCGCAAAGACGCGCAGGTAGTGCGCGACGATCGGCTTGGCAGCCTGCAGCTCGCGCGAGCGATCGAGGTAGACGCGCATCGGCTCGAGGGCCGGTGGCGGCTGCTGAGACGCCATGCGAGAGGACCGACCGTGCACGGTGGCGGAGCGTGCACCGTGGCAGGGCTGGCTGTCGGCCCGAGGCGCGCCAGGGTCGGGAAGAAATCGCTGGCCTCCGTCAATCCTTTAGCTTTCGAGGTCTCGCCTCCCTGGCGGGGGGGGGCGATACATGACGCGCACGCTTCGGTCGAGTGCGCGGCTCGCGACCCTGCTGCCGCCGCCGCAGCACCGGCCGAAGCGCGGACGCGACGTGCTGACGCTGCTGCTCTCGTCGGAGGGCCACGAGCTCCTCGCAGACCTTCTGCTGCCGCAGCTCCTAACACATCCAGAGTCGCTCGGCTGTTTAAGGATGGTTTGCAGGCGGCTCTGCGCCTTTGTCGCGGCGCAGGGCGCGCTCTGGGGGCGGCTCTGCAGTGGCCTCAAGCTCACAACCGCGGCCCGCTCCGCGCTCGCGGGCATATCGCCGCACCTGCGCTACGCGCGCAGCCGCAACGCGAGCTTCGAGGCGCGCTACCTGCTGCTCGAGGCTCGGAGGGGAGGAGGTGCGGCCTCTCCGACGCGGCACGCACACCGACTTCCCAACCTTTTTCCACGTCGCCGAGCTGCGAGCCGGCCCGAGCCATCGGAGCACGCGCGAATGGTACGACCGTGTTCTGGCGGCGGTCGAAGCTGGGGCCGACGTGACGACCAGCGACAGGGACGCACAAAACTTGCTGCATCTGGCCGCCACGTTTGGCGACGACGCGACGGCCCGGCTGCTGGTCGCGGCTGGGGCAGACGTCTTTGCGAGAGACCGGTTCGGCCGCGACTCTTTCTCCAAGGCGGGAGGACGCCAGGCGCTCCAGGACGGCTCTGCGGTCGCAGCGTTCCTGCACCGCGCTACCCTCGCCGCGAGCCTGCCGCGCGGTCCCGGGGACCAACTTGCGGGCTGAGCTTGCGCCGCCGATTCGCGCGCGTTCCCTGTCCTCGCCCAGTCGATGTGTGTGTGCGTGCGTGGTGTCAATAAACCTTCCGTCAGTTGCTCAGTTATCGCGACCGCGTTATTATATATTATTTCGTAAAAAAATCTTTTCATACCGTACCCACACCTCTCCCACGGTATGTACTTGCCAGCCGCACGTAAGGTCTCATATAAGAGTGGAAACCTAGGGGTGGAAACGGGGGAGCGACAGAGCGAGACGGGGTCCTCTAGGGTGTAGGGACCAGCACTTTAGGCGCGTGCGCGTGATAACTGATATCTCGATTCTCGTTTATCTCTTCTAGTTCTGGTTCTGATACGGATAGCGGCGCCGCGGGAGAAGAGTTACGGCCGCGCTGGCGGGCGCGGCACTGTGGGAGCGGCGGTACGGCGGCACGGCGGTAACGGACGGCAGGGGGTACGGCGGAGCAGTAATAATATCGTTGGCCGAAGCCTCGTTGGCCGAAGCCTCGTTGGCCGAAGCCTCGTTGGCCGAAGCCTCGGTGGCCGAAGCCTCGGTGGCCGAAGCCGGTGTGGGGAGGTGTGTGGAGGTGTGGGGAGGTGTGTGGAGGTGTTTGGAGATGTGTGGAGGTGTGGGGAGGTGTGGGGAGGTGTGGGGAGGTGTTGGGAGAGGTGGGAAGATGTGGGGAGGTGTGGGGAGGTGTGGGGAGGTGTGGGGAGATGTGGGGAGGTGTGGGGAGGTGTGGGGAGGTGTGGGGAGATGTGTGAAGGTGTGGGAG